GGGATTTTTCTGAACCAAAAACATGTAGAAAGAAAAGGAAATGCAATTATAATGCTGTACACTGAAGTCCAGAGATCTATAATTTGATTCCTGCTTTGCCTTAAAGTAGCTGTCATTTAATTTACTCAGTTCCTTTAGCTAAAATGCGACAATATTTGTTGATATGATCACACAATTCATTGCTGATGCCTGGCAACACACATATACACCAACTCTAACATCAGAATGGAAAGCACAATAAAAAGGCTTACCTAAGACTTGGATTTTTTCCAAAATATGGTTCAAAATATTAAGTGGTGTCTCACATACAGTAGGCATTCAACAACTAACCGGTAGCGGAACTGATATGGTAATAATAGAACAAATATTTTTAAAAAGAGGAACCAAATCAAAAAGGCTAAAGAAATGGTAGCTAGCAGGCATAAAAGAAGGATGACAAAGAAGCAATGTAAATAGAGATTAGAAACAAAATGAAGTGGGGCCTGCTAATTACTGATAAGGAGACAGAAAGAACGCTGAGAAATTGTGAGTGAGAATGCGGCTTGGAATTTCACACACAATAAAACCTTCAGGACCTCAGTTGATCTGAAAGGGATATTTTAACATCAATAAATACATAAATGTAAGAACTAAAAGGGGGAAAACCAATTCTTGTTTGAAGAAATTTTAAAGATTCTATCATATGAAGAAGGCAGGAGATTAATTTCCCATAGATTGAAATTTTTGTACTGTCTGAGCTTTTACCTTATGTGTGAACTTCTTTTCTTTTTCTTTCTTTCCTTTCCTTCTTTCTCTTTAGCTTTTCAAAAAGTTCTTCTGATAAGACAATATTTAGAAAGAAAATTTTCAGTATCATAGCCTCAGTTGACTAGTTTCTTTAAACAAATACATTTATCTTAATAAATGTGGAAAATAATTAATTTAGGAGTGAAGTCTGGCATAAATATGCCAAATTGAATCCATAATTAGTTTTTTTTATAAAATAACTGCATGATAGGATAGAACAGGAAAATGAGTATCTTTAGGATTTCAATACTATAGTGATTCAAAAAATCCAACAGATCAGTACATTATTGTGAGAGTTCAGACCAATTTCCTGGGAGTTCAGGCAATTGCAAAATTAGAGGGCACAGTCTCCAAATGTGCCCTCACTTCTGACACTAACTGCACGTGTGGGGTATTACAAAACCACCCGCAGGCTCAATAATCCTCTAGAAGGGCTCTCAGAACTTCCTGAAAGAAGCTATCCTCATAGCTACAGCTTATTACAGAGAAGGAAACAGGAACACCAGCCGAGGGGGGAAGCAGACGGGGTGGAGTACAGGCAAGTACCAAACATGGGGCTCCCACTATTTTCTCTGTGTTCCTCTCCTGCCAATCGTGGGTGACAATATGCGTAGTGTTGTCAACAAAGGAAGTTCACCCAAGTCTCAGTGTTCAGAGATTTTATTGGGGCTCCATTATGTAGTAAAATTAATTGATTATTCACATGGTTGATTTCCATCTCCATGGTGACTGATACCATGTGACTCAAAGCCCCCACCCTAAATCACTTGTCATTCCCATATCACAGATATGACCAAAATATTAAGCAATGCATATAAAAGTACTTCAAAATGCAATTACACTACAAACAAGAGCTAGTATCAGGCTTTTTTTCCTATATACTTTTTTTTTTTTTCATTTATTTTTATTAGTTGGAGGAGAGGGAGCAGCTATATACTTTCTTTTAAAAAAATCAGACAAGTTCTACCATAAAGGAAAAAAAAGGCATCATGCTATAATTTCATCATGATTTAAAATACAGAATTTGTTTTAATTATTAATGATAAATTGACAATTTTACAATAAAATATTCAATGTTAATTAATAAACTACTAATTGCATTCATCATCATATGATGACACAACTTTTAAAAAGTGATTTTTTATATCTAATACAATATCTTGATTGTGCAAAGAAAAAAAATGTTACTATATAGGACATAGTTTTTAAAAAGTGATTTTTTATATCTAATACAATACCTTGATTGTGCAAAGAAAAAAAATGTTACTATATAGGACATAGTAATTTCAGAGTCTAGGACACCTTCTCTTTAATGTTTACCAAGAGGCTACCTTTGACTATATATATTCTATATATTAGCTCTCTGTATAAAATTTCTAACTTTTAAGAATGAGGAGGTTAATGTTATCTAGAAGTAATATGAAAAACATAGAAAAATAATTTTTTAACAACTTCACATATTTTAAGACATTCCATTTAAAAAATTTAGCTGGTAAGTATAATATGACAGCACATTACTTTGAACATATGACTAAAGGGAGTGTATAATAAAATTGTTATAACTCAGAGTTTTCAAATCATGCATAAATTGCCCTTGTTAATAGAATTCTATCAAATCTAGCAACTTTGCACTGTCATTTATTCCCTTAACTTGCATAAAAATCCAGTAGATGCCACAGAGATATATAATCTTATAATGAAACTTCTAAATGGAGAAAGCCATAGGATGATCTATAAGTAAATGCATGAAAGAGTAGTCAAGCTATATGCATGTTTGCTTGGGTAAGAAATGCAAAACAAAAGACAGTGACATGGATCCAAGAACACTCAATGAATTGGTGATGCTATCACTGTACCTTTAGATGTGTGGAGTCTGAAGCAGCATAGAGGAAAAAGGAGGGCTTAGAGGTAGGGCTATTTGAAGACTATTCACTCACTGGTCCCAGTCATGAAGGTAACCCTGATCCAGATGCTCACCTTCCCTCGTTCAAAAGTGAATACAAGACCTGAGTTCAGTTCTAGAACTTGAATCTTGAAGCAAACAACACAAAGAACAAAGAATTTTCTTATTAATAACAATTACGTGTAATCTCAGGGCTGCTGTAGGTCCAACTGTTTCTAAGATTGGGTTTCCTGTTGCTGCTTCACTTTTCTGGGCAACCCTCATAATCTTTCAGTGTGTGTGTGTGTGTGTGTGTGTGTGCGCAGTCCTGTCTGACTCTTTGCAGACCCATGGACTTAGCCCGTTAACATGGAATTTTCTAGGCCAGAATACTAGAGTGAGTTGCCATTTTCTACTCCAGGGGATCTTCCCAACCCAGGGACTGAACCTGCATCTCCTGGATCAGCGGGTGGATTCTTTACCACTGAGCCACCTAGGAAGCCCCCAGCAACATTCTCGCTTTTAGTTAAGTAAAAAGTGGTTTCTGATGCTTCCAATCAAAGAGCCCTGACTGAAACAGTTCCTTTATCAAAAAATGGTACTGATATCTTTGGTCAAGGACCTGTCAAGCTAAATAAACAATGCAATTTTTTACATGCACTTGATATTCACCTCAGTTCAAGAAGAGGTCTGAAAAGTGCATGAAGACATGGTTTCCACCACTCAGTATGGTTTAAATATGGCCAGGGAGACAGAAACCACACATGGGAAATGATTACAAACTACTACTGAATGAACTACTAAAAATAAAAAAATATCTAATTTTCTATGCAATAACAGTTTGGGAAAGGAAGAGAATGAAATACAATGGAATATTGAGGGCTTTCTGGAAGATTGAGTACTGTGAAAGGAAAATCAAAATGGAGTTGCTATTGCTAAGAGCGCTCTCTTAAATGAAGCCAGGAGGCCGTTAAGGAAGTGTGACTTATGCACTGTCTCAGCCTACTGACCTGATGAAATCATCCAGAACACCTGTCAGAAATTCAGGATACTTATCTGACCCTTACCCTAAACTAACTCATAAGTCCTTAAGGACAAGTATTTTCTGACTAGCTTCAGAGTTAATAAAAATTCTCACCAGGCAACTTTTAATAAACTAGTGGCTTTCTGTCTTTACAAGCCTCTGACTCTTTGCTTTCTTCAAAACAAACTTTCAGCTTACCGAAATCTGGGTCTCTCAAGCTTCACTTCTTAAAACCCCCAGTAAACTTATTCTCTCTTTTGCAGCCTCCCACATTCTTATTTTGGTTGACAGTGCAAACTGGAACCTAAATAAATGACCCCTGTTATTAGGAGTATTACACAAATTGTCTCTCAGTATCTGTGGGGAATTGGTTTCAACTCCCCTACAGATGCCAAAATCTGTGGATGTCAAGTGCCTTATATAAAATGGCATATTTTCATTTTTATTAATGGCTGAGAATTTGTAGCAACATGGATGGACCTAGAGAGTGCCATACTGAGTGAAGTAAGTCAGAGAAGGAGAAATATTGTATTACATCTCTTATATGTGGAATCAAAAAAGAAATTAGAGAAATGAACTTACAAAACAGAAAGAGAATCACAGACTTAGAAAACAAACTTATGGTTGTTGAGGGGAAGAATCAGTTAGGGACTCTGGTAAGGTCAAGTAAACACTGCTATATTTAAAATTGAAAATCAGCAAGGACCTACTATAAAACACATGGAAGTCTGCCCAATGTTATGTGCCAGCCTGGATAGGAAGGGGTTTGGGGGAGAATGGATACATATATATGTATGGCTGAGTCCCTTCACTGTTCCCATGAAACTACTACAACATTATTAACTGACTAATCCCCAATACAAAATAAAAAGTTTAAAGTTTGGAAAAAATGGCAGAGTATCTGCATGTATTCTCTGTACATCCTTTGGTCAACTTTGAATCATCTAGATTACTTATAATACCTGATAGAAAGGTAAATATTTGCCAGTGCAGCAAATTAAAGTTTTGCTTTTTGTAAATATCTGTTTTTCTCTTTTTTTTTTTAATTTATGGTTGGTTGAACCCACAGATGCATAAACAGTGGATATAGAAAGCTGACTGTAAATTAATCTCAATGAAGAAAAATATATAGTACATACATTTAAAGAAGGTGATAAAATCCATACTGTGAAGAAATGGCTTTGAGGGATATATTGAAGAGTCAAGTCTCCACTGATAAAATGCACATTAGGAACACAGTTTTGGAAAGGAAGAGAATGGTTGGCAGTGCTTGGGTTCTCCTGAAAAGGTGCACATAAACAATCTTACCTCTGTTCACCTCCAGACACACTTTGATCAAAAGCCCTGCCCAGTCTTCAGAAAAGAAATGAGCCAGAAGTTAGTATGGAAAGACAACAGGAGAGACACCCAGAGATGAGAAGGTGAGAAGAGGACCTACGGGAGAAGAGTGAAAGAAATGGGCCTGTTAAGTGTAAAATAAAACAGAGGCAGTAATTCAACAGCTTAGAAAGGTAATATATCAAGATGCCAGAAGTGACAGATTTGCCATTGATACAAAATACAAAATAAAAATTAACAACAACCGACAACAATGAATGTTGAAGAACACCATTAAGTCTTGGTTTTTGAAAGTACTTAATCCCTTTAATTTGCAGAGGAGAGTTTTTTTTTTTTTTTTAAATTTAAGGGTTCCACCAGACATAAATTTTCATGCCCTTTGGATTTTATACAGAGCTTGATTGAGGGATGGGCCACTCCCTGGGAAATCTGTCTACAAAGGTTCAGAGCAGAACAGGACAATCTAGGGAGACTGGGAAAATTTCACTTATAAGATTCACTCTCAGGTTAAAGGTGTTTGTGGTTCAAAACACATACAATAATGAGCATGGTGAGTATATAATCTATTATCTTATTCTAGACTCTTTTGAGAGTACAGAGGGTTGTTAACCCAGGTGGCAGAGTGGTAAAGAAGCCACCTATCCATGCAGGAGATGCAAGAGATGCAAGTCAGGACGATCCCCTGGAGTAGGAAATAGCAACCCACTCCAGTGTTCTTGCCTTGGAAATCCCATGGACAGAGAAGCCTGGTGGGCTACAGTCCATGGGGTTGCAAAGAGTCGGACACAACTGAGTGACTGAGCATACATACTAATAACTTTGTTAGAATAAGGCACAAACCATAGAGATGATATAGTCATGGTGCATGCTTCCGAGGGAGGGAGGAGGAGTAAAGCTCCCAAAAAGGATTCCCCCAAGAGTAATAGTAGTTTGGGCAGGTACTTGATTCACCAATATTAATATTACGTAGGCTTGGGGGCAGTCCACTGCTCAGGACAGCTTCCAGAGGGGTAGATTCCTTCTCTGCAGCCCTTTTCCCTCAGCTTAACTTGTCAAAATACACTGAACACATAGCTCAAGAGTGTCAACAGGGCATTAAAATTTTTGTTGAATTTACAATATCAAAATAGATTTTGAAAAGTAAGCAGAGATTCTGGAAAGCAAGATATTTCCTCTAAATCTCCCATCTACATAACTAAGCTTCCTCTCGCTTCACAAATATTTCCCCTGGAAACCCCCAACTTTTGTCCTCACCAAGATTTTGTTGCCTTGCCCTGATTTCATTATGGCTCTTAAATCCTGAAGCTACTGAAGAAAGCCTCTTATGTATTCATAGCTGTACCAAGTCAGGCAGAGCCTCCTGGAGCCCATATTATATTAACCTAAGAAAGCATCTGAAACACATGTGGCTCCGTCAGTGAGCCTGGGAGATGCAGGGAGCGGGGGGCTGAATCATCCAATTTGATTACAGTTAACTGCGGGTACCAGGTCACTTCCAAACTGCGACTGGAGCTGTTCATTCTATATTTAGCTAGAGACAAAGAGATAGTGTGTGGAGACATGTAATTTGCCCCATAGACAGAGACTTGAAAGGTCAAAATGACAGGAAAAGAAAACTCTGAGGAGGAATTTTAAAGCCTCGCTTGTCTCTAAGGCAAGGAAGTGATCACCTTGCAGTAAGGGACCAGGAAGTGATGAAATTTAACTTTGCTCATCTCTCCCCTGTGAAGAGGGTGGCAAATGAGTAATCACAGGAGGGCTGCAGATGATGGGGTAGTGATCACCTGAGCGGTAAGCAAACAGACTTGCTCCTGAGCCCAAAGAAAGCTCAGGGCAAGGCGATCTCACGATACCAGGAGCCTGCGAATTCACTACCTAACAATTCTGCAGAAAATCCAAGGCAGGAATGGCAGAGGTCGGGTGGCTGGCTTATGCCCTCCCTTGGTGAAAGCTCCAGGCAATTTCACCATCCAGCTGTTCTGTTTTTCAAAACTAAAGTAATTGGAATTGAACTACAGAGCTTTGCTAAAACCCTAGCAATTAACAGTGCGATTTCCCAAATTGCACTGTAACGGGAAAGTGTCCATCAATCAACCCAGTGAAATAACACATTTTCTCACCAGATGTGAGATTTAATATCTTCATAACTCTCCGGATTTACCACTTATGAATTGTCAGCCTTGCCTGGAGCTCTGAGAATTAATGGACTACATCTCTGCTATGCAAGGATAGTTTACAGTTGTAAAATATCCCCACCTTCTCTTTAGATATATTTACCAAAATGGTCTTCTTTAAGATGTAATCAGAAAACATGCTAGATGGGAAAATTTCATTTCTATTTGCAGCGTTATATATTATCATTGTCTAGATAAATACAGTTTACAGAGTCTCAGTGCCACATGCTCTTGTAACAGGAATAACCAGTTTATCACTGGCAGCGGACAATAAATTACAGTGCAAAGATGCAATGGCTTCAAGTTTGAAATTTTAGAGTATTTTTATAGCTTTTTGGGGAGAGAGACCCAAAATATTCTGTTTCTAACTCTGTATGTATATACAGGTCCTGCTGTTCCTCCTGGACTAAGAAGAGAGATTAAAGCATCCACATATGTTCATCCTGTCACTGTGGTTATCAGGTACTTCAGTTCTCATTTTAGCTTTCACTCCGATCTTGAACATCTGAGCCATAGCCAGGATGAAGCTGCCTACTGAAAGCAACTCAGGCAGATTCCTATGATGCCTGAACCTCCAACTTTTCAGGTCTGGAAAATTAGTCTTGCTTCCACCCACAGGGGAAAATATCATAACAGTGAAGGTCACTCCACAGGCCTTGCATGGACTGAATTCATTTAAGAAATTATTTTTCTTCTACTGTGTTGTTCCAGGGTATGTGCAATAATACCTGCAGGGTACCAAGGCGGTATAGAGGGGGAGAGGCTGCAGGAGACTTGGGTATGGGGGTTGTGGTAGCAGTTAGGGATGGTTTCCTACAGGAGACAATGTCTCAGCTTGTCTTCCCATCACAAAACCTGTATGTTGTCAGACACTGGAGGTGTTGAGATGATTATAGTATTTTAGAAAAAAAAAGTCATAGGATTTCTAGCATTCTAAAGAACTCAGAGACCACAGATTTCATTTCCTAATTTCATAGATACATAAAATGATTCAGTGAAAACTGTCAATCACACCATTGCATCAGCTGATAAAACTCACTTGGCATACTGTGTTATCCTAAATAATCTGTCATTCATTCCCAACTCATAACATTTAATTCTCCTTGACCATTTTAGTTGGTTTTAGAAGTTAATATAACTTCTTTCTTTTTCTTGGAAGAAGGAAACAGGAGATGTGAATGGATCGTTTTTTTCCAAAGAATAAAATAACTTAATATATCTCTGCATGTTTTATTCTATTAGAGATTAAAATCACAAAGTAATAATTATATATTAAAAATAGTTCAAAAAACAGACTGATGGAATAGAACCAAGATGATAAAATTCAAGATTGATATAATTCAAATGATTATAATAATCTCCAACAATGGAGAAAGAAATTACTGTTTAGTAAATAGCATTGAGCCAATGTGATATCAGCATAGAAAAAAAAATCTTAGAGTCATTGCTCATACTACACAGTGTATTAATTCCAGATGAGTCAGAGTTGAACATTTTATTGAAAACTAGGGGGAAAAAAAACAAAACACAGTTCCTCTTCAGCTACCAAGAAGAGATAAATTCCTAATACTGAAAAAATGGAGTCTATTAGAATCTCATCAGAGGCAAGATGAATGAGCACAGATATATAAAACTAAAGTATCTGATCTACAACACATAAAAAATAAAGCAACATAATTATTTATCAGTAATTTATCAGTAATATTTATCAGTAATAAATATACTGATATCTGATTAAAACATGTTATCATACACAACCACATACTCACACACACTCATTTGTGTGTGTATAAAGAATTGACCTGTTATACAATTCAGTACTCAGGGGTTTCCCAGTGGTTGGGACTCCACGCTGTCACTGCAGAGGGCCCAGTTTGGTCCCTTACCAGGGAACTAAGATTCCACATGTCACACTGTGCTCAAAAATAAAACAACAACAAACAATAAATACCAAATCAGTACCCAGGCAGTGCCTCACAAATAAAGGGGCTACACAAAAGTTCACAAGAACAGTGAGGTAGAGAACTGTTATAAGGGGGGTTAAAACACAGCCATACAAACAAGTAAAAATAATAACTAAAATAACAGTAAGGTATCTTTGCAAAATTCTGCTTCCCAGGTAGCTCAGTGGCAAAGAATCCACCTGCCAATGCAGGAGATGGGGATTCAATCCCTGGGTCAGGAAAAGTCCTTACAGAAGGAAATGGCAACCCACTCCAGCATTCTAAACAGAAAAATTTCATGGACAGAGGAGTCTGGTGGGCTAGAGTCCAATGTTGCAAAGAGTCAGACACGACTGAGTATGTAGGCACATTTTTTGCATAACTACTGAGATGGCAAATAAAATTAAAAAATACTAAAGTTCAGTGGAGATGAAAGCAAAAAGAGAAAGGGGCAACAGAGGATGAAATAGGTAGCAGCACCAACTCAATGAACATGAATTTGAGCAAACTCCAGGAGATAGTGGCGGACAGAGGTGCCTGGCATGCTACAATCCATGGGTCGCACAGAGTCAGACACAATTTAGCAACTGACCAACAACTCTCAAAGTGAATAACAACTCTCAAAGTGGGTCTTTAAGAAATTTGAATGTATACTTCAGGGTCACCAAGGCCAGTCTATGGCTGGATCAGACCAGCAACGTATTTTTCCTCACAGTTTTCAAAAAGACTTCCAATGTTTTGTCAATGCTGAAAAGTTGTGAGATCTCCTCTAAAACCTGGATTTCTAGAGTCTCCATAAATTTCTGAAATTCTATACTGATACTAAGAAGACAGAATGCTGAAGAATTGATACTTATGAACTGTGGTGTTGGAGAAGACTCTTGAGAGTCCCATGGAGGAGGAGATCAAACCTGTCAATGCTAAAGCACATCAGACCTGAATATTCATTGGAAGGACTGATACTAAAGCTGAAGCTCCAATACTTTGGCCACCTGATGTGAAGAGCCAACTCATTGGAAAAGACCCTGATGTGGGGAAAGATTGAGGGCAGGAGGAGAAGGGTGGGACAGAGGATGAGATGGTTGGATGGCCACCACCAACTCAATGGACATAAGTTTATGCAAACTCCAAGAGATAGAGAAGGACAGGGAATTCTGCTGAAATTCATGGGGTCGCAAAGATTTGGGTACAACTTAGCAACTGAACAACAATAATAATAATTCCA